TTGAAACCAATTAAATGCTGGAACTGATGAACCTGTACATAAATGATTAGGAATGCTCTGCTAATAATTTCCATTAGAACTCATCACTGAGTTTCCTTATGGCCACATTACTCTCCACTCTGAATGCTGCTTATACTTGTAAAAACCTATTATTGAGTAATCCATTTATTCTTGAAAATAGATTGTCAAAGTTGATTCTATTAATACTATCACAGACTGAGTTTTTCACTGTGGATTATCAGCCTCTGCAGTGATAGCCTGTTGTCTTGGGAGAAAGATACATCTTGACTGTTACTGTTTGCCAGTGACAATTTTTCCCTTAATTTAGGAATTCCTGCTTCTTATGAAAGCCAGCTGGAAGCGGCTAACACATTACAGCACCTTCCTCAGTTTTTGGCCTTGGGAATATGTATTCTCTCCAGAATACATATCTTTGGCAGGAAACAGAAAGAAGGAATCTTGGGTAATGGATGTGCATGCCAAGTGTAAGGATTGTTATATTTTACGCCTAGGTTTCTGTCCTTGAAATTATGTCTAAAAGAAGTTCAAAAGTAGGACAAAATTCAAACAGGGTGGGTAGATTTTATTTGAAAGAAAGAAAAACTTTCAAAAATAATAGCTGTTAACTATATTTACCCAGGAATTTTTTGTAATCTTTGACAGGAATGTTTTACATGTCTTGCTGCTTGAATGGTTTTACAGTACCTTTAGGACTGTGTCCAAAATGCACAGATTAACAGCCACATAAAAAATCTCTGGCTGCGTATGGGAACATTTAGTCTAAACTTACAAACACAGTTGTCCTATGGGAATTTTTCCTAATCAGATACATGGCCTTAAAGTGTAGGTCATCTGAACAGTCAGAAGTAAAATGTAATTAACCACCACAAAAATATAGTATGTGCAGTAGTGACATGGAGAGGAAGAAGTGTTATAGAAAAGTATTCTTTGTTCACTCATAATAAAGGCTGTGAGTTGACATTGATCTGAGATCTGCTGAACTGATGCAAGTTGCTACAGTGCTTGACATTGGGCATTTTCTGTAAATTTTATATATAAACTTTACATTAATATCTATATTTATATATAAAATGACAGGAAATCCAAGCAGTTTTGGCAGATAGATTACTTTCTGATTAAATTCACTGCTTAATGTGTAAAGGTATTTTTTTGTTTCGTATAAGTTGAAAGCTTTGTTACGATTTTAAACTTGGAAACACAAGAAGTAGACAGAAGCTATGCAGCTTTAGCTACATACCACAAGTGCTACCTAAAATGTCACAGCTGCACATCCAGTTAGAGGTATTTGCCTTGAGCTGAATATTTTCATTGAGATAAATCAAAAAGCAAAGCAAGCTTAGGATACAGTCTTGGAAGAGTCTGATTCAGCTAGAATGTACACATGTGCAGTAAAACGAGTACCAAAATGAGGGTCAGAGCCATTGCTCTGGGTTGCATCTAGCTGTTCTGCAGAAATTGAGATGTCTCCTACTGAAACTGGACCAAGTCAATACCTTTGCAGAGTGAAAAAGAAAAATATTATGGATGCCTTTTATCCTCCAGTATTCAGTGACTGCTCTCCGTTCTACCAGCAGCTGGCTGGTGTGTATGCAGCACAAATTCAGGTTTAAGACCACTTCATAAAGACAAACAGAAATTGCTGTTCACCTGTGTAGCTAGCAGATACACTGCTAAACGCCGCACCTGATGTATGTTTTCCCTATTCTATACTACTTTGAATGTGACATAATACAGATATGGTAAAAAGTTATCATTTTTTTTTGGCTTCCACTCAACAGAGTTGTTAACTCTGAAGTCAGACATTGCTGATGATGATAGTGTGTGATCAGGGAAGAGCACTATCAGATCCCTGGTTGATTTTAAAACACTAGTAGTTTGGAAAAACCTCTCTACTTGTAAACTGATGAGATTGGGTTTGGAAGGTTTGGATCCTAAATCAGTGTTGTAGTCCTGCCTCTTCACAGTTTTCCCCAAACATCTTACAGCATTTAATAAAAAATATCATTTTTAAAAAATAAGAATAAATACAAAGTTAAAAATTAGTGCATTTCTACGAAAAGAAGATAAGAAGAAGGCAAATTTCTGCTCCTGCTTTACACGTATTTCCTATATAACATGACACATTTTATTTTACCATCCTTTAGAGTCAATTTCTTCCTCTGAAGTTTGAATGTTAATAAGTAGGCCATGCAAGACTAAAATTAATTATTTGCAAGATGTATCTTTGGATAGAAAACTGCATTGTAATATTTCATAATGCTCTTTGAAGTGTATCACAAGTCCAGTAGTAGCTCAGTCATTAAAGGGGAGTTAATTCACCAATTAAGATTTTAATGACAAAATCTTGCCAAATTCTGCACAGAAGGGCCTACACACTGATTAGCCAAGAGCGATCTCTCTGCTGGTTGCAATCACAAGAAGCTTCAGGCTAGAGCTCATTCGATACAACAAAAATGTGATTGCTGCCAGAGTGCTCTCCAGAAAGGCACCTGCATACATGGATTGTATTGGGTGTACAGATTGCAGTATCAATTAGCAGATAAACCACTGGAGCCCATTTTGTCAGCAGAAGTCCAGTGTTTTCTAATTCCATTCTCCCCTCTAGCAGTTCAGATGACTAGGTGACACCTACTCATTTTAGGATAATCAAAGTTTGGTAGATTTTTAGGAGATCTTATGTACCAAATCCACCTGCCTGTCTTCTTCTCTGCAGCTGATAAGAGAAGATACATACATACTACAAACTCACATATTTTGATTTATAAACATCCAACTGTTTTACCAAAGGGAAAAAAATACAATTCTCTGCACAGAATTACTGTAAATAAAGATCATTGTGATACACTTTAAAGATTATCTTCATCATATTACCTTTATCACTCCTTCATTCTCAAGTTTGGGTTTTTTTTTGCTGTTGCTAGCTTTCATTTGGTTTGGTCTGGTTTAATATTGCTATTCCATTATCTCACTTGCTAGTTCATTAAAATATTCCAAAGTGAAACCTCTCTGAAATTATGGTGAGAGGAATGCAAGAAGTGGCTGGAATTTTGTCAAGATTAAAATCGTCTGGCTGCTATTGGTGATTAAATTGGCGTATGTATATATATGATTCTACATGTTTACCATGTGCATAATGTTGGCTATTATAGGAAGTCAGATTATTTTTATCTGCACAGGGAAAAGGCAGTGAATTCAGGAAAAGGAACTCTGTTGGGAGGCTTTTTCCCATGCAATTTAAAAGCAATATACTAAATTCAATGCTGGTGGCAGACTTCTACTTAGAAAAGACTTCAATAGTATCTGGACTCCCTCCTGTACGCAGCATATATGTAAACAAATTCGTATGTTAAGCCATGGTTGCTAGTGAATTAAAAATTATGTATTCATAATTGATTATCTTTCCATACCTTGGCTTATGCAGGCTGTATCTGATTAATTTTGCAAGAAATTATAGTTCTTTAATGACTTTATGGAGTTACTCCTGATAAACATCCCGGAGAGTGGAAGCAAAATCAAGTCCATTTGTTGCCCCTATACAATGATTTCATGTGGTTGCAAGTTGAAGTATCCTTTGGGCCTTGTTCAATCCCTTGTGAAAACAGCCTTCAAGTGAATATCCTAATCTCTTGTACCTCTTTCGGAGCCTCATGAGTCCAAGAGAAGTGATACTTATTTCTTTTGATGTACATATTTGGGTGCAAGCCCTCTATTTCCTATTTGGCATGTGTAAATCTTTTTCAGATTAACAGTCTCTTAAAATGTCACTCAAAAGCACATAGATAACGAAACTAAAGGGTAAAATCCCCTATATTGAAAATTTATTCTTTCTTTGCAGAAAACTATATTTCGCCATCTCCATCTTGAGGCAGGGTGGTTGGGAAGCCTCTTGCTATAGCATCCTCTCCTTTTATTTCTCTCTCATTTTGATATTTTTTCAGCTTGAAGCTGCCCAAGGAAAAGTATTCTGAATGTTTAGGTAATTAAGATGTTTTACAATAAAAATATTTCAAGATTATGTAGATGATAGTGACGTACATTTTCAGTGCCCATATTATTTGTTGCAATAAATATTTGAGGATGTCCTCTTTTAAATTTTTCCAAAACTTAATGAAATTTTTGGGGACTTGAGTCAAAATCATTAGCAGGTAGGAGCAAATTGCAATATATATATACTTTTAAATTAATTTATAGTTAAAGCGGTAGAATATATATCACTGAACACAAAATTAATTCAAGCCCTGTGAAATTTTGTTCACAAAAAGCCGGCGAAGGGGAAAGCATGCATTTTGTTGGTTTGGAATAGGTTTGTTTGCATCTGTATATCACTGCCCAATTTTTCATTCTATTCTGTTGTGTTACTGTGATAGACGTAGAACGTTACCATCATTGCAGTGCTCAGCTCTTTCATTTTCTTATAATTCTCTGTGGCAACAATGTGGCAAGGCTGATTAAAGGCCAGGCATCTGGCGTCATGTGTGTTTCATCTGTGGGGCACACATGAAAACTTGGAGGTGTGGCACAAAGACAGGAGGAATACACTCTGCT